TTGAATAAAAATTTATTATATTAATAATAATAATAATAATAATAATAATAATAATCAACAATTGTTTTTAGAATATAAAATATACGTATAAAATATACGATTTAATTTAGAAAATAAAATAAACAATTTTATTTTCTATTTAATATTTACACTATATTATATATTTCATTCTTTGTTATATATACTTTATTACATTTTGTGATATCGAATAATTTACAACGCTTCATTTTCTTACATTTACTTTTAATATAACTTAAAAAAACTTTTGTTAATTTAACAATTTCAATCGAAATTAGAAAATCATATTATATTCTATAGAATATACGTATCTTTAAGTGATTTTTAATATTCTGATGAAAAGGAAATTCTCCGATCAACATCTTTGTCTACATTTTAGTAACATATAAAAATTAAATTTAAAAAAATAGTTTTTATGTTCGTTTGAAGTAAGAGAACTAAAATAATAGTTGATGAAATGAAATGAAAAATTGATAATTAGAAATTAGATTCTTTGAATCGGCTATCGATCTTTTTGATTTTTTAATTTGCGCAAGCAGAGCAAATAGAAAAGATAATAATTTTAATCATATTACGGGCTATAATAATTCTATCGATAAAAAAAAAGCGTATCAAAATTTGCATTCTATAAATCAGTCTTGAAATTACGCGCAAAAAAATGATATCATCTTTGATAAAAATATATTTTAATATCATTTCAATATCTATCATTGAAAGTTGCATTTTCCTAGATGTTGCAACATCGTTAATTTTAGACATTTGAATATAAGATGTTGGACGTATGTTATTAAAACTATATTACATCTTTTATAGGTTTGAAGTACGTAGTTTTAAATCCTAACGTCTTAAATTTTTTAAACAATAATTTGTAAAGAAACGATCGATAATTTCACAAATTATTGTGTAGCATTACAGTGCTCAACAATGAATAAAAATCGTCGATGCAGACAAGCAATTTGCAATAAATCGCCGCAGTTTGAAAGAATAGAGACACAAAATTTTTTTTATTTCACAAAAGTGAAATGTATCTTTCTATACTTCCAAAGAAATCGCTGCTGCGACAATTTGCATCGGGCCTAAATCGTATAATAAATGAATAACAGAATACAAAGGATTAAATTGAAAGATATTTATTACAATTCATTTATATTGAATAGATTTCGAACATATAATGTGAGCCAAACACATTGAAAATTTTAATTGACATTAACAATTCATATTAACCATAAGACAGGT